CTTCTTGTTATAAGTTATCTTGCTTCCTCCTGTGACTTCCCTTTTACATCTTATTTTTCATAAATGAACAAAGTAAAAATATTTGATGTACACATACAAAACAAAAATATATATTCATTTAAGGTCCAAAGCAAGGCAGCCTCCTGCCCACAGGCACACAGCCTTTCTCTGTCTATGGGCCTGGAGTCCTCAGCTGCTCTGTCTCTCTGTGCCCTTGCCTCTGCCGGCTCTACTATTGCCGCTTTTCTGGGTAGGATCTCACACTTCATTCATGTTCCTCCTTCTTGATGGTCCTGGGGTCATCTGTTCCTGAAATGGAAGATTAATTACTCCCCACTCTTAGTTATACACGTTCTACAATTACAGTTGTGACCATCATGATTAACCTTGCTAAGAGTTACTCACAGGTGAATAATAAAATCCTATCACCATCATCCCTCATCCCCTTTCACCAGATGCTTCTGGAAAAGAGGAAAACTATTCAGTGGGGATTCTACCTTACCCCTCTCATTCTGAAACTTAAGTACACTCATGAAAGTTTGGAAGCCAGCCACTTCCTGCCTTTATAGCCCCTCATTTTTGATAGCTAGTGTCAAAATTGCCCATGGTGCTGTGGGTTAATGCACCATACTGCAAAGTCAGTTTGAATCTCAAGGTCATTGGTTCAAGCTCACCAGCTGCTCCTCGGAAACCCTATACAGGGTCACTATGCATTGGAACGAACTTGATGTCATTTAACAACAACAGCATTCAACCCACACTGTGGCATATTTTTAAAAAATTAGATTTGTCAAATGAATTTCTGTAACACACACAATGCAATGTGATTCTTCTGTTCCCAAGATAATTGTAGGAGGTTCATGAGAAATATGAAATCTTGGACGTTTTACACTTAGGGTGGTGTTGTGGTAATGGGCAGAATTTAAAGTTGGTGGTGAGCTTCTCCTTCTAATCCTAAGAGTGTCTATCTGTATAGCCTGGTGTACAAATTCCTTTGGCGAACAACACACCAGGAAATCTAACAGGAGTGAGAGGGCAGGGCAGCCTCCTAGCAGATAGAGTGCACTGCTTTAGCATCTGACCTTTCTTTCCCTTTTCCCAATGTTAACAACTAACAGGATAAATGTTTGTAGTAAATTATTCGGAAATACTGAGCTTTGCTGTTTTTAGCAAAAAGAAAAGCCACTGATGAATTATACATGTAAAAATTGTTGAATTGGCAAGTTTTGTTAAATTAATTTTCCCCACAATTAAAAAAACAAAAGAAAAGAAAAGCCACTGGATGATTAGTAAGAGACACACTTTAATTCTCTGTTGTACTGTGCATTTTATGGGTAGTTTGTTTTAAAAATTACTTTCATTTTTTATTAGTTCCTGGTCAGACTTAAAAGTTTTCTAAGAAATAAAGGAGTTTTTTGTTTTGTTTTTTACATGGGAGAACTTTAGTTTTACATTCATTCCATCGTATATCATCTCACTACTATGGTTCCAATCCCCTCCATGCATCATCAACCACCCAAAGGGTATATCCCAGAAACCCGCCCCCTACACTTCCCCCTCCTCCCCCCAATTTTTGGCCCACAGTCCCTTTCCCTCTCTGGGTTCAAAGTCCCCAGTCGCTTCATCAGTCCACGTTATCATCTCTGTCTCTATCTCAGGCATCTCTGTTTCTCTGGGTAGGGTCCTGCTCTCGGCTCTTCTCCGTTGATGGTCCCAGAGGCCTCCACTCCTATCCTTTGTATGTGACCCCTCTGTTTTCTCTTGCTGCTTTCAGGAGCATCTCCTTGTCTTTGAGTTTGGAGAGCTTGACTATGATATGTCTTGGTGATTTTCTTTTGGGGTCCACCCTTCCTGGACTTCGTTGAGTGTCTTGTATGCTTATTTTTTCGCTGTTGAGGATGTTAGAGAAATTTTCTTCTAGTAGTTCTTCGACTATTTCCTCTGTGGACTTGCGTGACTCATTTTGTTCTGGAATGCCAATAATTCTTAGGTTATTCCTCTTCATGTTGTCCAACATGAATCTTAGACCTTCCTCTGAATTTTTACCCTTTTTTGGGTTTGTTCTTCTAGCTTAGTGGTATTGAGATACTTGTCTTCCAGCTCACTGATTCTTCCTTCCATCTCATGTATTCTATTCCTCTGCCCCTTCAAAGAGTTTTCTATTTCTGCCATTTTGTTGTTGATTATTTGGACCTCTTTCTGTAGGTTTTGGAGTGTTACCAATGCTGTTCTGTCTTGTTTGATTGTTCCTGTAGTGCTTTTCTGACTTCTTCCTTATTTTTCTCAACTCCATTGTAAAATGTTTTGAAACATTTTATAATCATTTTTCTGAATTCTTTCTCAGGCATTTCCAGGGCCTGCCCGCCTCCTAGAATGGAGTCCAGGTCTACTTCTAGGTCATTTGTCTCAGGTATTTTATCTTTTTTCTAGACATGTGCTGATATGGTCATCTGTTTTTGCTTCTTAGACATGTTTAATGTTTATCTGTGGCCCTTATGCTTAAATGAGTATGTATTTTGGTTCTTCTTTATGCTTTCTGATTGCTTCCAGGAAGATGTGCTCAGGGTGTGGTCTTCCCTTTTCCCTCTTCTTATTGCTTAACTCAGAGTAACTTTCACAGGTGTTGCCTGCTTCCCTGGTATATGACAGCTGGTATTGGTTCTTGCCTGGGTTTTAGTATTTTATAAGGTGTGATTGCAGCTTGGCTTTTTGGCAGTGGTTGCTGACTATTCTCGTGTAATATAGGGGGACAAAGAGTCCTCCAAAAGCAGAAGGGAGGCGTGTAGCAGCCAAACAACAGCAGTTGGGTAAAAAACAAAAACGAAATCAAAAGCAAGAACAAAAAAATGGGAGAAGGAGGAAAAATGGAAAAAAAGAAGAAAAAAAAAAAAAAAAAAAATTATATATATATATATATAAAATAAAACCAGAAGAAAATAATGCAGCACCAGCGAAAACAAGACTAAATATAACAGTCTTTCATCACAAAAAAAGGGAGAGTGGGGTGGAGAAGAAAAAGAGGAAGAAGAAAGAAAAAAGAAGAAAAAAAAAATCTGTAGCTTAATATAAGTATTTCTTTAATGTCCTAACTCTCTTTCAGTCACCTCTGCCCTCCTCTCCCTACTGTTAGGTGCTGTCGAGTCAATTCCAACCCGTAGCGACCCTGTATAGGGGCTCCGAGGAGCGGCTGGTGAGCCCGAACCACCGACCCTGCAGTTCAAAAGACTTTGCAGTGTGGCACCTCAACCCATAGTGCTATGCTGGGACTCCTCTCAAACCAGTGAAAAAAAAGCAAACCAAATAGGACACATATCCGTGTCTCCCGTATAGGGTTTCCGCGGACCAGCTGGTTAGCTTGAACCACTGACCTTGCAGTTCAAAAGGCTTTACAGTGGCGCTTTAACCCACAGCACTCTGCCGGGACACCTCTCAAACCAGCGAAATAAAAAGCTAACCAAGTAGAATGCACACCCGCGTCTCTCGTATAGGGTTTCCAAGGAGCGGCTGGTGAGCTTGAACCACCGACCTTGCAGTTCAAAAGGCTTTTACAGTGGCACCTTAACCCGCCGCGCTACGCCAGGAAGCCTCACAAACTAGTGAGAAAAAGCAGACCAAATAGTAAGCACATCTGCGTCTCCCGTATAGGGTTACCGAGGGGCAGCAGGTGAGCTTGAACCACCACCGACCTTGCAGTTCAAAAGGCTTTACAGTGGCACCTTAACCTGCCGCACTGCGCTGGAACACCTCTCCAACCAGTGAGAGAAAGCCGACCAAATAGAACGCACATCTGCGTCTCCCGTATAGGGTTTCCGAGGAGCGGCTGGTGAGCTTGAACTGCCGACCTTGCAGTTCAAAAGGCTTTACAATGGCACCCTAACACGCCGCGCTATGCCGGGAAGCCTCTCAAACCAGTGAGTAAATGCTGACCAAATAGTAAGCACATCCTCATCTCCCGTATAGGGTTTCCAAGGAGCGGCTGGTGAGCTTGAACCACCGACCTTGCAGTTCAAAAGAATTGGTGGCGCGGCGCCTTAACCCACAGTGCTATGCCAGGACCCCTCTCAACCTAGTGCAAAAAGGCCGACCAAATCCACGTCTCAGCTTGGGCTGAGTGTGTGTGAGTTCCTGGCAGAGGAAACTGCCAGCAGTAAGGGTGGGTCGTGGCCACTAGGCTAAGCCCCTACCTCTATTCACCCAAATGTAGGTGGGCAAACTGTGAGCACACCTATTACCCTACACCAAAGAAAAAAATAAAATCGGAACCACACAAAATTGGCAGAGTATACTGTGCACCTTTTTTTTATCTTTATTTTCCACCGTGCCTCCACCATGTCTCTGCAGCTCCTATCTCGTCCTGCCGCCTCAGGAGTATTTTTATATCAGAAACAAATTTTCAAAATAATTGTCCCTCCCCACCCCCCACGAAGAAATTAAAATCTGACTTTAGGGAAATTGGTTAACCTTTTACTCATGTCTGTACAATTGAACGACAGTATTGACATCAGATTTTTCTAAAGTACTTTTCAGAGCTATGAGTGAAAGATACTAAAAATATTGCCTATATTATTCCCAGTCCTCAACTAGCCATCCGTTCCAATTACCAGCTGCTTAGAAGCATTGGTATCGTGAGTAAAATGCTTATCACACACCGCTAATCACAACTTTCACAATTGTGTTTTGTTGTTTCTTTTCAAAAGCTAAATGTTGTGGTAGGACTGCTTTCTTTGAGGGTTAGAAAACCCGGCCACATTTCTAAACAAATGTCACATTCTTATTAGTGCATCACCCATCCATCCTCTATGGGATTATGCAGCTCTGTTCATAGATATAATCAGCTTTGTATTTTCATTCAAGGATAACAAACTAGCGAGGTTGAAATCTTGACTTGTCATCAGAATTGATTTGCTCCTGGAGCTGGGAGGCAGTGAGGAATCAGGCCCTGTTCAGAAAAGGCAGTTAGAGAATCTCAATTGCCTGCTCTTCCTTTCTTTTCCCTCTAGTATGGTGACTATGACCCCTCTGTTCACAAGCGGGGATTTTTGGCCCAGGAGGAATTGCTTCCAAAAAGGGTAAGATAATCAAATTGGGGTGTGCTTCGGCCTATTTGGGAAGACATAACAGCTATATGGTGTAAAAGAAAGTTAACAGAAAGATTTGAAAGAATAGTGAAAGTACATGGTAATACAAATATTTTGTATGAATTCCTGACTAAAGAATATGTATGTAGTTTTTGTTAAGAATGGGGTTTCCAGGACTGCAGGAATAGCCCAACCTGCAAATGTCCCCTTCTGTGGTGTTTCCCTTAGAGGTGGATGAGCGTCATTGACTCTCAGGGAGGGGTGTGCAGCAATTTGTGTTGAGAGGAATTGAGCTGTTTGCAGCTACTCAGTGTGGATAGATAAGATGAGATAGGAGTGGGCATGTTGTTGTTGTTATGTGCCATCTAGTCGGTTCCGACCCATAGCGACCCTGTATAGGGTTTCCGAGGGTGTAAATCTTTACGGGAGTAGAAAGCCTCATCTTTCTCCCGCGGAGCAGCTGGTAGTTTCGAACCGCTGACCTTAAGGTTCGCAGCCCGATTCGTAACCACTACGCTACCAGAGCTCCTTAGGAGTGGGCATAGTGGGTTTTAATTCTCAGCGTTGTTCACCAGCTGTGGATGCAGACCCTCCCTCCCTTTTGCTGCTTCTGATTTTATAGCTCCACTCATCTGTCACTAGGTAATAAAGCCTGCTCCTCACTTTTCACCAACTTTACCTGTTCATTGGATGGCTTCTGTGAAAGCAGCACACACAGCCTGGCCCTGGTGGCCCAGGGAGAGTTAGCCTGGCCCCTGACTGAGCTCCTCCATTAGAGACAGTCACTAGGGTGCACAACCCAGGAAGGAAAGGGGTGTGCCAAACAAGGGATACCCAAGACTTGAGCAGCAGCGCAGCTCTTCAACTTGTTTTTCCAACAATTGGTGCTTGTTTACACGCCCACCTCTGCCAATGACGCTCTCTCTCTGTGGGGCTTCTTAAAAATAGCTGTGCTGTTTTGTAAAAATGATACATAATCATAAAAATGTCAAACAAGACCCAAACTTTCCTTGTGTGTGGGTTTTGTATTTTGCTCTGCTTTTCGGTAGGTAATAAATCTGTATCAGATGACTCCGGAAATGTGGGAGGAGAGAATTACTGCATGGTACGCGGAGCACCGAGGCCGGGCCAGGTGAGCTGCTTCTGTTTGTTTTACATTTCTTAACGGATTCTTTTCTTTCTTCCTTCCTTCCTATCTACCTACCTACCTACCTACAAAAGTAGAACACACTTTTGAACAAAGTTTAGTACCAAGCCAAAAAGTACACCCATTGTCATTGAGTCAATTCTGACTCACAGCAACACTAGATAGGGTTTCTGTGACTGTAAGTCTTTACAGAAGCAGGCTGCCTCATCTTTCTTCCATGGAGCAGTGTGTGGGTTTGAACTGTCAGCCTTTTAGCTAGCAGTCTAACGCTTAACTCAGTATACCACCAGCGCTCCCTAAATTGCTGTACAGAAATCACTAACAGAAAAAAGGAGAGTCTGGAGTGACACAGGCCTTTTGTTTATTACTGTGCCCTTCTAGTAGTTGGAGTGTTTAGTATGCATGTGCATACATGCATAATTAGTCTTACTGTCAGGATAGATAGACCTACTGCATTTGTGGGTAATTTCATTTGGTTTTAAGAATTCTATTGTGTATATAACTTCCTTTGGGCACCTATTTTTCAGTTGATGGCATTTTTTTTTTTTTTTTTTCAAATACAAAGCTCTGCTGTATAGAGTCTTGGATAGCGTTATATGGTCTGAGTAATTCTGAGGGTAGGTTCTTTAGAAGAAGAGCTGCCAGACTTTGCATTTTGACAGGGGCCCCCAACAAATTGCCCTCCCAGCAAACTATGCCTGTGTCTGTGCCCATGCATGGTGTTTACAAGTGTGTCCTTCCCCTCCCCATCTCTTCCTGACACTTGTTTCTGTCATCTCAAAACTCACGTTTATTGTTTGAATGAACATTTGAATGATCACTTTGGGAGTTGGATATCTTTTCGTTAGCCTTTAAAAATGCTTTTTTTTTTTTTTTTTAATGCTTTTTTAAAAACTCTTCTTTAAATCCACTTCCTATCACATTGGTTGTTGAGTTGTTTGTTTTTTCAACTTTAAAAAAAGGGAATTATTCACAACTGAAAAGTGGTCAAATACTAAGTTTAATACTGGATGAGTTGTCACAAAGTGAAAGCATCTGTCAGCACCAAGTGAAGAAATAGAACACAGCTCCCTCCCCCACCCCTCCCAATCAACCCACTTTCTTTCTCCCCAAAGGTAACCACTCTCCTGATTGCTGACTTCATTACAGTGGTGGTGGTGATGGTGTGCCGTGGGGTCTCATAGCAACCCTATATAAGGTTTCCAAGGCTGTAAATCTTATGGGAGCAGAAAGCCTCATCTTTCTCCCGTAGAACGACTGGTAGTTTCAAACTGCAGACCTTGAGGTTAGCAGCCCGACTCGTAACTATTATGCTACCAGAGCTCCTGACTACATTATAGTTGTTGTTGTTGTTAAGTACCTTCGAGTCAATTCCGACCCATAGCTACCCTATATAGGGTTTCTGAGGAGCAGCTGGTGAGTTACCTATTTTAAGTTTTGTATAAATGGAATCAGATAGTGTCTATATTTTTGTGTCTGTTTTTTGAGCATATCTGTGGCACAAGACCTCTTTAAAGTGTTGATGAGCAAAGATGTCAGTTTGAGGATTAAGGTGCACCTGACCGTGGTATTTTCAATAACCTCATATGCATGCGAAAGTTGGACAGTGAATAAGGAAGACCATAGAAGAATTGATGCATTTGAGTTATGGTGTTGGAGGAAAATATTGAAAGTACCATGGAGTGCCAAAAGAACAAACAAATCTGTTTTGGAAGAAGTACAGCCAGAGTGCTCCCTGGAAGCCAGGATGGCCAGACTTTGTCTCTCATACTTCAGACATATTGTCAGGAGGGACCAGATACTGGAGAAGTATATCATGTTTGATAAGGTGGAGGGTCAGAGAAAAAGAGAAAGATGCCCAATGAGATGGATTGGCACAGTGGCAGCATCAATAAATGGGCCCAAATACAGCAATGATTGTGAGGTTGGTGCAGGACTGGGCAGTGTTTTGTTCTATTGTGCATTTAGTCAGTACCAACTAAATGGTATCTAACAAAAACAACATTTTTGTGTCTCACTTCTTTTACCCATCACATTGTGACACTTACACTTTGTCATGTAGCAGTAGCTTTCTTTCCCATTTTCAGTGCTATGTACACTTCACAAATAATCTATTATTGAACTATTAATATGCCACACATTATTTATCTGTTCTACAATTGATGGATATGTAGGTTGGCAGCTCGTCTCCTGATTTTTGTTATAACAAGTGATGTCAAACAGTTTTCCAGAGTGATTGCGTACTGATTTACATGAAAAGTGTGTATGACTTTAGTTGCTCCACCTGCCTGCCAACATTTGGTGTTATCACAGGTTGAATTTTTAAATTCACTTGAAAGCATTTTTTAATCAGGAGGAGAGGAAAAAGGACAAGGTCATAGGGAGTCTTTAGTTTAAGTATTTTAATTTTGTATCAATTTGGGAGTTTATTGCAAGCCATTGTATCTTCAGGACCTTACTTTAAATTTGCCTTGTAACTTGAAGTAGTCAGCCTAGCTTGAGTTTTACAGCGCAGATCTCTTGTTCTAACTGCCAACAATACCCAAAGAAATAAAATCATTGCCAAAACCTTCTAGTTGAAGAAAGTACAAGTAAGATGAAGTAGCAGGTTAAACCCAATGTAAGCATCCAGGTACATCTGAGGGGAGAAGATAATATGCCACGTGCTCTTCTTGAATGACTTAACATGGGTGTCATTATTTACCAAGGGCAAAGTCTGAAATTGAAGCCAGAAGACACTGAATTGAATCTGTTTTCTTGGTTTTATGGGGATGGAAAGTACGGCCTGACCTTGACATGTTTAATTGACTCGGCACTAGGAAGAGCTTGGCTGGTGTCCTCTCTGGCTTGTATCTGCTACCAGGAACAAGATTCCAGCGGAAGAGCAGGTCACAAAGGCCTGCACGACATGTGTCACTCCTACCTTCTCTCTTAGCTCCAGTGATGACATTGTCTTTCCTTCTTGCAGGGATGAAGCAGAAATGGAATATTTGAAGATTGCCCAGGACCTGGAGATGTATGGTGTGAACTACTTTGCAATCCGGGTGTGTTGAAGTCTCTCTCAGTCCCTGTGTAGTAAACAGACTGAATTAGGGGCAGGCTGCTAAAGCAGTTGCTGCTTTATTCCAGCACAAATGGTGCAGGCGAATCTTTTACAGCTCAGTGGTGAAGTGGAAAAGAGGAAGGGGAAAGAGGTCTCACAGCCTCATTTTCTATTTTTGGACTTCAATTAGATCATAGGTAATTAAGTGTCAGTTGAGCCTTGAGGGACTGGGGCCTGGTTCTGTGCTCGGCACAAACCTGTTGGCATGCTCCAAGTGTAACATTCGGTTATTTCTGGCTCTGTGAGATCTCAGCCCACAGGGAGCACTTGTAAATGCTTTCTTTTCCCGGAGAGTAAGGCTGCTTTTATAGATTACTGATTTGTTTGGGTGGGGATTCTTGTTCTCACTGTGAGACTAATTGGTTTTCCATCCAGACCATTAATAGTCGACAGTCCTCTGAGAACCCACTGTGCCTGCACCCAGAGATGTTTGGTCCCTGAGCCTCTAGCACATCTTTCTACCCTGGGTCAGCTACTGAATGCAGCATTGTGTGGGCAGCTTCGCCTAAAGGAGTATATGTGATTTGCTCAAGTATTTCATCTCTGGTTCCAAACTGTGGGTAAACAGACTTTAAACAATTATCTTCAGTGGTCTGCCTTCATTATGATAGTTACTGCTTGCTTTCCATGTTTGAATTCCTATAAATTTAGTATAAAATCTGGATAAATTGAAACATATTTAAAATTATTTGCTTTGTAAATAATAGATTTTTTTATATGCTGTGTGGGTGAGTCAAAAATTATCTGCACTCTGGCTGTAGAATTTAATCAACTTTTAGAAAAGATAAATACATCATTTTTCAATAGAATCTCCTTGCTTTGCAATATACTTTGTCCATCTGTCAACAAGCTTTTATAGTCCCTTATTATTAAAAAAAAAAAAAAAAGTTTTAGGCTGGGCTGCAAGCCACAAATGCACCACTGTCTTCACTTTTTCATCAGAGGTGAATATTGGTCCTCAAAGCACTGCTTTCAGGGGACCAAACAGGTGAAAATCTGATGGAGCAGGATCAGGACTATAGGGAGGATGTTTTAACACCTCAAAACTAAGTTTTTGCAGAGTGTGAACAATGTGGGCAGAGGTGTGCTGATGTGCATTGTCATGCAAAACCAAAACACCCTTGGATAGCAGTCCTCTGTGTTTAATCCTAATCTTAGGTTTCAGGTCTTCAGCAAACATTTTACTGTAATGAGCACTGTGGTTGTTGAACCTTTTTCCTGCTAGTGTTCCAGTACTGGTCCTTGAGAATCCCAGAAAATTGTAAGCATCAATTTTTCAGTTGATGGTTGACTTTTTTTTTTTTTTTTCCACATCCTGACAACCATATACCGTCTTATTACTGCCCATAACTTGAAAGGTTAACTTCTTATTTATAATGTAATGTGATATTATATTCCATGTTGTCAGCCATGCCTTTCTATGTGGAAATGGTGAAATACCCTGGATTAAAATGCAGTGATTTATATGAAAGATGTTAACTGTGAAATATCATAAAATAGTGAGAATGACAAAGTGCATTTTAAACATTTGGTAGTATGCAAATTGCTTTGGAACTATTTTCCTTAAAAAAGGAATATTTCCAGAGTTAGGTGGTACTGGATCTAAATTGGTGAACACACTTCTTAAATGCGCCCCTGGTGATGGTTGACTTTTGAATTTTTTCTTGTGGTGGTTGAGAGTATTTCCATTCCATGCTCTCAGGCTTGTAGTGATGAATCCATGTCTTGTCACCAGTAATGATTATTTTTATAAGAAACTTTATCTTCCTTTAAGTATCAGTCCAAATTTTTTTTGCAGATGTTCAAACACTTCTGTTTATGCTTTCCTGTGAGTTGTTTTTGGTATCCATCTCACACAAACTTTTAGAAGCTGAAGTCCTTCTTGGATTATTTCATGGCTATTATTAACCACCAGCCACTCCGGGGGAGAAAGATGAGGCTTTCTACTCCCGTAAAGATTTACACCCTCGGAAACCCTGTACAGGGTCGCTATGGGTCGGAACCGACTCAACGGCACTTAACAATAACAACAACATTATTTATCACACAACCCACTGTCACCTGTCTATTCAACAGAATCATTTTACGTGTATGCTCAATGTTGTCCTCAGCCATTGATGTGAACAGGCATTTTAATTTAACTGGAATACAAATAATTTTTTACTAAAGCTCGTGTTTTGCATATATAATAAGGTACACTGAAACATTGTCTAAACAAATGTCTAAAAGATGTACCATTATAATATAGAAGGCTATTTTCTAAAGTTGTGTTAATTTATGTTTGCTAGTTGTTTGACTTAAACTCAGATTGATTTAATACATTTTTGTCATATTGACTACTCTTGCCCCACATACTCTACCACCTGTATTCTAGAAAACTGAAGTTTTATAGTATTCAATAAGCAGTTTCTTATTAGGGACTATTTCTACATTGTTGGTGTTGTTGTTGATAGGTGCCATCAAGTCGGTACCGACCCATAGCGACCTTATGCACATCAGAACAAAACACTGACCGATCTTGGGCCAATCTCACTACTATTTCCATTCTTGAGTCCATCGATGCTGCTACTTAGCCAATCATCTCATTGGGGGTCTTCCTCTTTTTCTCTGACCCTCCACCTTACCAAATCCTTCTCCAGTGACTGGTCTCTCCCGACAATATGTCTGAAGTATGAGAGACGAAGTTTGGCCATCTTGGCTTCCAATGAGCATTCTGGCTGCACTTCTTCCAAAATGGATCTACTGGTTCTTTTGGCAGCCCAAGGAACTTTCAATATTCTCCTCCAACACCGTAACTCAAAAGCATCAATTATTCTACAGTCTTTCTTATTCACTGTCCAGCTTTCGCATGCATATGAGGTTATTGAAAAGACCATGGTTTGGGTCAGGTGCACCCTAGTCCTCAAACTGACATCTTTGCTCTTCTACACTTTAAAAAGATCTTGTGCAGCAGATTTGCCTAATGCAATACATCATTTGATTTCTTGACTGCTGCTTCCATGAGTGTTGATAGTTGATCCAAGAAGAATGAAGTCCTT